AGCGGCAAAGTTCCTGCGGACTTCTACACCAAAAGCCACAGGAAGCTCTGAGCGTTAGCAAACGCAAGGGGGGATAAGGAAGCACGATTAGTCAGAGAACAGACAGACGAGCTTGCAGGGAAGGACATCCTGCCCAGCACAAACAAGCCACTAAGTGCTGGGCTGCAGCCAGCTGACCCCACACAGATGGTCTGCAGATTCGTGAAACCGGAGCTCTGTCAGAGGCTGGAAATTCAGACCCACCTCGCAGGTCACCCCGTGTTTACCCCTCCTGCCGGAGCTATCAAGGCTTCCAACCGCTGGTCTGCGTACGTACACACCTGGGGATGTGTTTGGTAGTTACAGCAAAGGGATGGAGGCAACAATATGTTTCCTTGGCTGACCAGAAAGTTAGAGACCTTTATAAGGTGACAGAAACAGTGTGGTTAAAGCCTGCTGTTTGGAAACAGCCAGCTCTTCCCATGTAAACACTCACCTGGCCACCGAATCAGCCAGAGGCACACTTTGTGCAGCAGGCATTGCAGCGAGACTCAATTCAGTGTCACTGAAGCTATCTGTACTGCATCAGAAAGGGAGGAGACAGGCAGAGGATCCTGCCCAAACGGCATTTCTCCGTGTCGCTCTCCAACAGCGGTACCAGCACAGGGACGTTCTCTCTTCCTCCAGAAGGTGCGGATTTTTTTTGCAAAGCGTTTTCCCTAGTAGGTCTGTAAATCACCTTGAGGGCAGTGCCACGGTAGATCCACTACTGGGAGGTATCTTGAAACAACAAGGTGTGTGGTGGTGGGGGGGAAGTGATTTCATGTTAAAGCTCTATCCCAGTTTCACACGAGTGCCCTTGATAACCTGCAGTGAAATTTTATGGAAGCCCAACCACTACTAAAGGTGCATTTCTCAAGTGCTGAAGTTCAAATCTTTCCTGGAAAGATTTAAAGTTCTCCCAAGTAAGAGCAAGCTCCCTTAAAAACAAAAGACAAAAATTTAGAATTTTGATACCGCTACACATTTGACATTAGACATCCAAGGCTTAGAAGGAAGTACTACCAAGAAAAAATAAAATCTCATTTTACTGTGCTTTAACACTCATCTCGTTCACGATAACTAGTCCTTATCCTGTTTTGTTCAGCAAACAACTACAAAGAGTCAAAATCCCAGAGTGATGGCTTAGCTCCAGGAAGTGCATCACTTAAGCTCTTCTGACCATGAGCTGTTAACACCGTGATGGCTGCTTGATGGGAAACATCAGTCTCCTGGCTCACAGTGCCTACAAAAACTCCAAATATCACAAGAAAGCTGGCCATCTCTTTTTAATCCAGAAGACAAGAGGGACATAAAATTAGCAGTAAGTAGAGCTTCAAAATAGTTACAGGAAAATAAAACTGATAAGGTTTTCTTTACAGAGAACAGAAAGCCTTTTCCGAGAAAGCTTTGAAGGGCTGAAGCTTCCTGGGAAATTCCACTTCAGTGCAATTAAGTCTATTTTAAGGAAACGTATCTCAGAGCAACAGCTCACTGAGTGAAGTATTTTAAGGAGTTAATAGTCACAGAAATTCACACACGAAATTTATCCCGTTAGAAAATGGCTACTTAATCCGGCTTCAAAAGCAAGGATGGAAATGGGTTTTGAAGTTCTTACTTGACCAGCTGGGAAGCCCGTTTTATGAGATTTATAAGGAGTGCTTGAAAGATTTACCAAACACACAGTGCTGGGAGTTTAAAGGGCCTGGAAAGGCAGTTTCCATTTATTCTGAACTGCACTAACACTTTTGCAAGTGGAATTCACTCCCTGGCCTGCTCCCACCACATGCACTTCTTCCAAGCCTCACGTTCCCTTCTCCTTTCCCCAAGAAGCCGTGTCACTCACCCCCTTCTGCGTGGCCCACCCCAACGTTTAAAAAACAAACCAGGCTCCTCCAACCCAGGCAGGGAGGAAGCCCTGCACTTAGAGCAAACACCAGATGACGGCTTTTTCTTTCCCTCTTTCTCAGCTGGGCAATACCAGGAAGCAGCTGCAAGCTGCAGACATCCGCGATTCCGAGGAAATCAGGATGTCTGGTAGAGCCTGACATGCTTACCACTGCTAAGTTTCCACTGTGCCCGGATTAATCATGTTCTTCCAATTATTCCTGGATAAATGCATGTTTACAAGGCTGTATATGGAACAGGAAGCACAGGAACTTACTGGATTGTTTCAGAGACCACAAAACCGGGAGATTCTCACGTTAGTGCCCCTGAAATACCAAGTGGGCAAGTCTGGAACCAGCTTCTCGTTTCCAAAGGCTGAACTATCAGATCAAAATACACCAAACGCTTTCCCAAACGCTTCTCCCAGGGGAAGGCTGAGATATTTTGCAGCTGCAAATAAGGAGCTGAGCAAAAAAAAAAAAAAAAGATATTTAATCTGCAATAAATGAAAGCTTTTGTGGAAACCCCAAAGCAAAAGATGGGTAGCTTCAGATCTACCGCTTACAAACAGATCTAAGGAGGACCCTCTGAAGGATGGCTATGGCTAGTGAGCACCTGCCATTAGCAGTGAGAAAGAGCCACTGGCTTTTAGGCGGCATCTTGACAAAGCACATGGCCAGAGACGGAGAAAAGCCGGCTGTGGTTCACCAAAGAAACGCACTCTACAACGGTTTAACCTCACACAAAGGGAGATTAGAGCCTTGTGACTGATTAAAAGCACCTTCACATTTACGAGGGTGCAGCACTACAAGCAATGGTTCCTGTTGTGGGAGCAGTTGTACGGCAACCTCCCGCGCGGATTCTCCGGAGCCTTGTAAGAGCTGAACTCCATGCGACAGTCCCCTCGCTGAGTGTATAAACCCAGTTTCCCCTCCACAGGCACCTCCTTCCAAAACACTTGCTGAAGGTTAACATCTTTTAACGCCTCGGTTGACATTTCTGAGCAGGTCCAAAAGCCGCTGGAGGTTGTTTTCACAGACAAAAGCCTTTTCATCCAAGTTCTAGATCTGGTTATTCTGAATTACCGGTCTGTTTTCACATGTTCTGCTGCACTTACGCTGGTTTCTTTTAAGATGATACTGGGTTCCTTTTAAAATGGACTATCAGGTGTTACTCAAGGTAGGTCAGGCCACCAGCCAGGGTGAAACACACTTTAATTCTGCTCCCACTGCAGAGATCAGCAATCTTCTATTTATAGAAAACATGAAAGTGACTGCAATCATCTTCTTGCCAAAGAAGCAATTCAGGGATATTGTTTACCCCAAACAGTTGCAATGATAAAAGGACAACAGCCCTAACAGCCATGCCCGTGTTACACAACTACTTCTGGTTAATCCCAACACTCTCCCGTTTCAAAATCCTCAGCAAAAGCCACTTCACTTTTCGGAAGACAAGTCCCGTGGATGCTTGCACCGCTCACAACGTATTCTCAAGACTAATCTACAACTGAGCCAGCCCACAGCAGCACAAGAGCAAGATAGCAACGCTCCACGGATTGAGTGTCCCCACTCACACAAAGCTGAAGTTTACCAGGTACTTCCTCAAAGAGCTCCGCTCCGGAACATCATCAGTAGGCTTCAGAGTGAATAAACCATCAATACTAGGAGTATGCTGGGAGAGGCACACATGCTCTCGCTCTGTTTCTGGGACACGCAGCTTCACAAGACCCGGGCAGACAGAAGCACACACTTAAGAACTGTCCTCAGCTGGGAAGTGGCTTGTTTTTGGAAAAGAGGACAAAAAGTAATTACAT